GCCCTGTTCGAGGCCGACACCCTGGCCGCCCGGCCCCACCCGGCTCCTGGCCTGGCCCTGAGGGAGTGCAAGGCCCTAAGTTTGTGGTGATGGTGGTGGTGTTACCAATGGCAACAGGGATGCACACACAGAGCAGCGCCTCCTCCCTCCCGAGAGCCCCTCCCATGGGATTCGGCTGCCTTCCCGGGGAGGTCACGGGGTGTGGCGGGGAGGGGCCAGCCTGGCCACGTGCAACCAGTCCTGCCCCGGGACGCATCTGCCAGCGCACCCCCATTCTTCCTGGGCTGCCCGCCTGGCCCTGTCCTGCAGCGGGTACACAGGCCTCTGCCGCACACGCTGGCTACTTCTCCACAAGGTCAGGAAGGGGGGTACCTGGCGCCATGGCTGTGTTAGGAGCACCCAAAGCCCGTGGAGTTGGTGGGCACCTGCAGGTCAGGTTTGGCAGAGTTGTGGGTGCCCCTGGGCCTCAGTTTCTCCATCTAAAAGGGGAAGACAGCAGCCTCCGTCTCTGGGCCATGAGAGCAGCTTGGGACCATGACAGCGAGCGTGACCTGTGCTGCCGCTGCACAGACAGAGTCACCCCTTGTTTGGTTAGAGGACTGGCTTCTCCCCAACCCTGAGCGCAGACCTGCACCTTCTGCAGCAGCTGGCGGGCTCCCAGCCTGCAGGGTCACCCCTACCAGAGGCGAGGTCCCCCCAGTGAAGGAATCATCAGCCTGGAGCATCGACCTCATTGCCCTGGGTGGGACGTGGTTTCAACCAGCCAATGCCGGCCTGGTGCCGTAAAGCCAAAATCCTAAACAGCAGCCACAGGGCTGCGCCCTGTCCCAGCCAGGGCCTCTGGAGGCCACCTGCCCGCCCTGTGCCCCCTCGAGGGGCTCCCAGTGGAGTCAGCAGGGTGACATCAGGGACAGGAGTCCTTGTGGAGTTCCAGCCAGAGGGACATTTTTAGCGGTGCTTGTGCCGGGAAAAGGTGCACAGAGGCCTAGGAGCAAGTACCACGTGCTTCCCCGGACCCAGGCTCCCTTGCGTGTCTGCAGGACACCGAGTATCGCAGATCAGAGGGGAGCATGTGTGCAGAGAGAAAGCTGTCTCCTTCAGTCTGCTGCTGCCTCCGGCCAGGGAGCTGAGCCAGGATCCTAGGTGACATTGGCTTCTGGTTTCTCTGACCCAAGAGAGGACACAGGTGAAGGTTAGTGTCCCGGCTCAAGTCAGACTGCCCGCGTTGTTAGCCTGGCTCTTCCGGTTGCTGCCTGAAGGATCACAAGCGAGTCACTGAGCTTCCAGGAACTTAAGTGTCCTTGGGCAAAAAAAAAAAAAAAAAAAA